AAAATATTTCCAGAGTAGTGTTCGTTTTTCAATTTAGTTTTAATACAATAGCGTATATATTACATTTAATTTATTATGTCATTGCTTCATTGTTTCACTATTAATATACATGTATTCAATTTTGAATAATATATTTTTGTTCATATATAATTTGTAGTTGTAAGTGATTTACCGTCATTTCAACGGTTAAATATTGCAGCATTGCCGCTATCAACAATAACAGACCTACTTCTTTGCACATTCAATCAGGCACATGTACGAATGTCAACGTAATGGCGGCAGATCCACGTTACCCGAATTCCGTTTCTCTCGAAGTAAAATGCCCAGTCCCTTGGATTTCGAGTTACCGAGAGTCAACTGTATTTATATTCGGTATATCTGAGACATTTGCCAAACTACTCGTTTAATATCACACTGAAGTTAACTGAGAAAATGCTGCACCACAGAAACGCTGGTTACTGAATCACATTTTATCTGCTTCTTTTATTAACTTTTTAAATACAGTAGTAGTTTGGCAAATGTCTATTGTATACCAAATTATTGTATTCAAAACAATAACGTTTTAAATGCGCTATAGTTCTTACTAATATCGATGAAACACAACACAAACGTCGCCTTCAAAACGATAACAGTCATTCTTTATCATTAAACTACAGTATTTGAAATGATTAAGTCATCTCTTACAATAACGCAGGGTTAAAAGGTGGCCGCAATTCTGATGGGCAGCCACAAGGGGAATTGCTATTCTATTATATTTCATGATAAGTGAGCTAAAGTATCTAAAGTTTGAATAATCTATTTTTATAATGAGTATAGAATGGAATGTAGGAGATGCGGAATATGTATCTAACTGCATAATGCAATTTCATGAATGAAATGCTTATGTGTTTTGCTTCCCAAGACCTCTTTGTATTTGAAAGATACAAACATTTCTTTTCAAAAACTAGCAAACTTTGTACTTTTTTCATTCACACATAATTCAGTTTTTTGTTTTTGCACGTTCATTCTGTAACAAAACAGTACCATTGAGAAATTAAATCATTTTCACCCCTTCTTATCAAACGAAATATAACAAATTTGATAAATCCTCAAACAATTTTACCGATTATTATAAAAAGAAACTAAGAATTCAAACTAACATTCTGACAAAAGATATGTTTATAAATAAGTACACAAATTGACATCTTTATGAATAAGTACACAGTTTGACAGAGTGCATAAAATGAACAATTGGATTTCTAAAGACTTGTATATTTAAATAAACCAAATTATTGAAAAGCTGCCAATTTTTAAAACCATCGAAAATGTAAGACATACAAGCAAGTTACTCTCATGGCAAACATGAAAAACAGAAGTTATATAATCAGGATGTCTTCTCTTGCAGTAAAGACGTTGACATAAAGATAAACGTGATCAGATGTTTGTTCAATATTATGTGTCCATTTTTCACGGTCCAAATATTTAAGACGTCCTAACATTCAGGTTCTAAGCTTGTCAATATAACTATTTCTACAAAAATGTATCATATTTGTACTGCCTAAAAATGCTACTAAAATAAGGACAATTTTATTATCAAAATCTGTAATCTGAAATCTGTAACAATATTTTGCTTGTTGTAAATTAATATTTAAAATATTTTCTATAACTAGCAAATTAGATAGCATTATATGAAGATGAGTTACTTCTGTTAACATCTTATTAATGTTATATGTTTTCATAACAAACGAATTTATGCCTGTCAAATGTGTATGTAATGTCAATTGACATGTCACGATAGGTTTCATAGAGGTATTTTTTTCTTCTGATTAAAATTCAGCTGTTTAAATTGACAAGTTTTAAAAGTATCTCCGGCAAAATATACAAACTTACATACCTAGCGTTTCGTTCATTTCTTTGAAATTAGAAATATATCCTATACAAAAATTTAGTTGATTGTATTGAAAGCTATAAGCTTATTGAAACACTCTCGAATCTGTTTCATGAACCAGCCAGTACATGTACAAAACAATGTATGTAATGTTTCTTGCTCAGGAAATAACGGCTTGACGCTGACAGGGTTTGAACCTACGCGGTCAATGAAGATAGTCTAACAGTGTAAAATGAAATAATTATCAAATTTAAGTAGACTTGGGTCTTTATAAACTAGCATCATACTGAAAATAAGCATTATTAATCTACTAACAAAAGGCAAATAAGAATTTAAAATTACAGCTTAATTCTACTCTATTGTCTTCTGATATCATAAAAGTTAAAAGGTTACTATACATGCATGCAAAGCAGTATTTGTTACTGACTTTAATGCTCATAATCCTATGTGGGGCAGTATATCTACAAATAACAAGGTAATATAACTGAAAAATTTATAAGATAACTTTCAGCTTTGTTTATTAAACAATCGGTCACATACATATTTACATCCAGCTACTGGTACGTTTTCTTGCATCACCCTCTCGATTGGTCATTCTGCTATATACTTGGACTTCAATTGGAAAGTTTTAGATGACCAGTTCGGCAGTGATCATTATCCATTGTTACAAGCATCAAATGACTCTATACCAGATGAAAGACGTCAAATTTTTAAATTTAAGAAAGAAGATTGGGAAACATTTACTAGGCTCGGTTCTATTGATATAACAAAAATGAATTTAATTTCACTTCTGCTGATATAGCTGAAACGTTGTCTACAGCATTACATATGATTGCCTGCAAAGTTATTCCATTAACAAAAAAGTAATAAAAGTAACAAAATATAAAAAACATGGTTTAACGATTAATGTAAAAAAGCCGTTCGTATACATAAAGCTTCACTTAAAAAGTTTGAACATCGCCCTACAACAGAAAACCTTGAAAATTATAGAATATTTAGAGCCAAAGCTAGAAGATCAATTCGTCAATCTAAACGCCAATCATGGCAAACATATGTTTCAAATATTAATTCAAATACTCCTATAAGAAAAGTCTGAGATGCAGTACGAAAAATAAGTGGTAAGTATAAAAGAATCCTACTGTTCACTTAAAAACTGGTGATGGCCAATATGCCAAAACAAAAACGGATATTGCAGAAACTTAGGCTAAACCTTTTGAAAAGAACTCTTCTTCAAACAATTATTCAAATGAATTTAAACAACATGACTGTAAAGCTGAGAAAGAGCATATTAATTTTACATCGACAAACGATGAAGACTATAATTCCCTTTTCATTATTGATGACTTAATTTATTCAATCAAAACTGCAAAGGAAAGTGTTGCAAGCCCGGACGAAATTTACTACCAGTTTCTTAAACATTTACCACTCAAATCTCTTGACTTGCTTCTTGAAATTTTTAACAAAATTTGGGTATCTGGTAAATGTCCCAGCACTTGGAAAAATGCGTTGGTTATTCCTATCCCTAAACCTGGAAAAGATTCAACTAACCCTACCAATTATCGTCCAATTTTACTAACAAGTTGCCTCTGCAAAACATTCGAGAGAATGATAAATAATCGATTAGTTTGGTATCTAGAAAATAATGGAAGTATCACTTATTTTCAGTCAGGTTTTCGTTAGCAGCGAAGCACAAACGATCATCTTGTACGACTTGAAACTTTTATTAGAGAAGCCTTAAGTTTGTAAATAAACAACACCTGGTATCAATTTTATTTGATCTTGAGAAGGCTTACAATACTACTTGGAAATATGGTATCATAAAAAATCTAAAGGATGCTGGACTTAAAGGCAGACTTCCTCTTTTCATTTTTAAACGATAGGCACTTTAAAGTAAGACTTGGTTCAACTTTTTCTGAGGACCAACAACAAGAACAAGGTGTTCCTCAAGGAAACGTACTTTCTGTTACACTTTTTGGCCTTAAAATAAACAATATTGCTAGCGCTCTTACACCAGGCATAGATTGTTCTCTATATGTAGACGATTTTCTTATCTGCTATCGATAGAAAAGTATGAGAACAATTGAAAGGCAGCTTCAACAAAATTTAGATAAAATTCAGAAGTGAAAATAGAAAATGGTTTTAAGTTTTAAAGTAAAAAACTCAATGTGTTCATTTTTGTCGATTGCGGAAACACCATAATGACCCTGAACTTTACATATCTGGTTCTAAAATTCCAGTAGTTGATGAAGCTAAGTTCTTAGGAATTATATTTGAAAAAAACTTTCTTTTATACCACACATTAAACATTTTTAAAACTAAATGCCTAAAAGCTTTAAGTTTACTTAAGGTTTTATCAAGTACAAATTTGGGATCAAATTCTTCCACATTACTGAAATTATACAGAGGTTTTAGCCGATCAAAATTATGGTTCTGTAGTATATGGGTCTGCAAGAGAATCATATCTTCAAATGCTAGATACCATACATCACCAGGGTTTATGTTTAGCTTAAGTGCTTTTCGCACCTCACCTGTAGAAAGTCTATATGCGGAAGCTGGGGAACCATCGCTTCATCTTCGTCGAAAAAAGCTACCACTTCAATACGCAACTAGAATTTCATCTAATAGCAAAAATCCAGCTAAAAATATTATTTTCAAACCAAGTTATTATACTGAAAAATTTGTTAACAAACCAAAGGAAATTAAACCATTAGACCTTCGTTTAAAAGATGATTTAGATAAACTTAAATTTAATCCAGACAGTATCCTTCAAAATGACGATGAGGATGTTCCACCTTTGACTTATAATTCCCCGAAAATAAATATTAACCTTTCAAATATAAAAAAGTCATCAAATTCACCTGAACATTTCAAAGAGAAGCAATTAAGGAAGAACATGAAGATTTTATACATATTTATTCGAACGGTTCAAAAGAAGGTTGCAAAGGCTGTGTTTGAAAATAATTTTACATCTAGTAAGAGGTTACCAGATAATGCATCAATATTTACTGCTTAAGCAAAAGCTATAGATTTGTCATACATAGTACAGCATACCCATGACAAATTTGTGATATTTTCTGCATCGCTTTCTGTTTTAATATCCATTAATTTTCTTGATTGGTCCGATTGACCATACAAGATACCGCTGACTTGCATCAACTGATCCTCACTTGTACGTTTAGAACTGCGAACAGCATTTGAACGATGACCTTTTTTTTCAATAATAAGCTGCTCGTCAATACCAGCTTCATAAAGTCGTGTTGGTGTAATGTCCATTGAAGGAAGCTCGTTTGCACAGGTTACCAACTGTCTGTTGTAGCACGTGAACGCCAACGGGTGAATCGCAGTACCAGCATAGTGCCGTGGGCGCTTTAAGAGGTCGCAGGTATAAGGCATCTGTTTTACAATTTCTTGGACTGTATGCAAACAAAATATACATTATGAATGTATTACTAGAGGGAATGATAACATTTCTACTCGTTTCGACTTAATTTCCCTAGTCATACAGTCAAAATACAGTGTAATTTCTGAAAAATTATCTACTAACAGACAGTCTTTAAAAGTAATAGAATCATTAATTAATTACAATTCATGTAACTTGATAAAATGATCATAAGAAAGGTAATTATGTATTTTAAAATGCTGTTGCTTAGGAGGGTACGTTTTTTTGAGTTTTACCACAAAATGCTGGTAACTTACTAGAGTATTTAGAAATATTATACAAATTCCTTTTTTTTTCTTTTTTTTTTCTTTTCTTTTTTTAATGAAGTAATATTTTGGATTTTTTTTTCATTTTAGAACTTCATAAATTACAAAGTGACACTAAGTCCACAGCAAAAGCAAAGCGAGAAATTTGTATACATGTGAATTTGCGAAAAAAAAAGACTACAATTAATTATAATGTCCCTATTCAAAGTCCCCATCCGCTCGGCACAAGAAGATAATTATATACATCTTTTACATGTCCGCATTCACATTATTTCATCGCGAAAATTAAGATAGATAAAAACTCTTGTTATTTCATCTCATCCAGTGAGTTAAATCTTGTTATTTCATCTCATCCAGTGAGTTAAAGGCACAGTATGCCTCAGAAATCAATATATTTTTTTTTAATTCTTTAGAAATGACAGACATGTGTTTAATAGTAAATTTAGAGTTTAAACTATAATTATACAGATTGCGGCAAATGGCAGATGTCACTCTTTTTTATAATAACAAAGTATGACCAGTTTTAAAAGTAACAGATTGTGTTCAATTGATAATATATTTTTTGAGGCCATATACTCGGATAATACTAAAAGATATTTAGATGTAGAAGAAACATTTTTAAAAACCGTTACACAATCGAAAATATGCGCCGCAATCTGCGGTCCCGTTCTCGAGTTCCTATGATTACTGAGGCATAATGGGCCTTTAAGTCAGAGTGACAATTGTTTGATGCAATAATTTATAAATGCTGAATAAAAAGCGTTTAAAAGATATACAAAAAATAAGATAACTTACCGGAGAGAAATGTATTTTCCGTATATATTCACAGGGCATCTCTCGGGTTTGGCTATGTTTTCGTATGCTCGTGAGATTTTGGGCTGTATCTTACGATGCTGAATTCCCCCTCTGTTTGTTTTTGATATATATTCGTGATATTCTAAATATCGGCGATTTTGTAAGGCCCGTTTGACTGTGATTTGTCCATTTTCACCAACTCTAAGTGCACGATGTTCTTGGCCTGCTCTTAAAGTAAAATGCAAGCCCAGCGTGTAAAGTGATGTATCTAGAAGCATTTGTGGCGTTTCTGTTTCCAGAATGCGTTTGTTCAACAGTTCATTCTCCTGTTCTTCACTTATAATAGCAGTGCTTCTTCGTTGCATACCAAGTCCTTGTTTGGATAGCTGCTTCATTTTTGCATCAAGAATACGCCTTAGTCCATCAAAAGCGGCATCATCTAGAAAGTTGATAAGTCTACCTTGCTGTCGAAGATGGTGTTGTATCGCAATTATAATCTCATATAATGTGATGGGCTTATATTCTTTTCCAGATATTGTCCTCACTTCTGTTATGAAGTACCCCAGTGTCTCGTTCAGCACTTCGCTACTCATATTTATGAGATTGTTGTATGGCACAAAAAAGGCTGTGTTTTTATTTCTGTTCTTCTGCCATAAGTCAAACATGTTAACTGCCCATTCTGATTTCTTTTCTGTCTTACTAGACAATTCACTTTGCCAAGGTCGTCTAAATCACTTTGTTTCAGAGGCACTTAAAACCTTGCTGGCTCATTTTGTTCGATGAGCTGAGTTGCTTTCAAAAGTTCCTCGTCCCAGATGTCTGAAAATAGGTCGCTTTTCAAATCAAACGACGGCTGGAGCTCTGTTCTTTGCTTATTGTCAGCCGATTCTACCATGTCTAATACTTCACTTAAAATTAAATCCGATTCTATAGCCCTCAAACATCCGTTTTCTTTAGACTGTGTTATAAAAATACTATCATCTGAATCAGACATTATTGCTGCTTATAATTTCTAATCGTTTTTTTTTCCTTTTCTTTCTTTTTTAAATCCAGAACAACTTAATGATGGCAACTTTGTGTTACTTATGAATATTGTCACAACTATATGTACAGTGTATTACATGAAACATGATAAACATGATTTTCTTACCTTACCTCATGTTCCCCCTAAAAGTAAAGCTGTCAATAAGTTAACAATGGACGCATGATTTTTTTACCCAATATTGGCATGGAATTCATGGATTGATACAACCGTCCATTATTTAGACAATAGAGAACATGTTTTAATTAAGTAAGAGAAACTCCTCAAACTGTCCATTATGTGAGAGAATAAACAAATCTCGGCGCTATGAGCCTCGATCTGTTAATTCTCTTACAATCATAATAGACAGTTTTTGAAGTTTCTCCGTAACTTATATTGAATTCCAAGTCATGTAGGTATACGAGAAAATGAAAAAGTAGATGCTTTAGCGAAACAATCATTAATATTTATAAAAAACTGACTTATTGTTACCTGCTTGTGATTTTAGACCGGCTATAAATAAACTCGTATCATCTGAATGGAAAGCAAATTGGGACAATGCCGTTTTTAATAAACTTCACGATATAAACCCTTCTCTTGATGTGTCACCATCTCTATCTCTGTCAAACCGACATGATCAAACAGTTCTTCTTCGAAGCCGAATTGGACACACTAAAATTTTTCACTCTGATCTCCTCACGAATGACAATGCCCCTTTCTGTGTAGCTTGTAATGAAAGTTTGACTGTCAAACATTTTCTTCTTGAATGTCATGATTTTTCACAGGCCCGTAATTGATTTTATTATGTAAATTCACTCAAAGAACTCTTTAATACAGTTCCATCAAAAAACATCATTGTTATTTGAAAGAGATAAACTTGTATTCTAGGATCTAATTGGCTCATTTTTATTGTCATTTACAAAGTTTTACATAACATTTTAAGCCTATCATAGCATTCGGCACGATATGGCCAGTTATGTGTTGACGTGTCGTAAAAATCCAAACAAACAATTGTTTTTGTTGAGAAATGTTGCTTAGAAAGTGACCAGGAAACTTTTGGACTTGTGAGAGGCTAAAAATGACCCCAGGTCGACCATAAGGTAACGTTTAACCAACGCTGAAAAGCCTTTGACTCTATCTATATCCATTGAAAAGTGGCAGCACTTTGAAATCAATTTTTATGGAAAAAAATCAACGCAAAATATTTATGTTTGGCAATTTTGAGGTGTCCCCTCGTTGGCATGGTAACAAGAAATTTATTACTGAGCATGTTGTTGCAATGGTCCGGTCAACATTTGTGCCAAGTTTGATTAGTGTTCAAGCAGTTTTAATAGTTTTATAGCAATTTGAACTTGTAACGGGAGACTTTTCAATAAAAACAGCCATTTTTTCACAAAATGCTCATGCAGTAATGGGTTAAAAGATAACAAAAAGGATTATAATTCATAAAGATTCTGTTCTATAGTACTTGCAGTTTACATGAAAAACAACAATAAATGAAAATTGATTGATGTATAACAAATAAAATTAAAGTTTCTCAACTCGTTTTATAGCATATCAATGTATGCAGCGAGGCAGACAACTTTAATGAAATATTGTCCAAGCGTAAAATTGCTTGAGATACGAATGATGCCTGGAATAAGTGATCATTGGCTTATGAAATAAATGCACCAATCTCAAAGGAGTCCTGTCAATCATATTCTTTATCTTTCTGAGAAAACAATCAGTTTTACGGATATTGACGTAAATGTGTCGGTTTAGGTGTATGACACAAAATATTAGAATTAATGCCTATTCATTTTTAAATTATAATTAGTACCTCGTACAAAGGAGTCTACTTTTTAAAGTAATAATTAGTGCCTCATGTAAATAATTCGGTTTTAGGGATATCAATCAAAATATTAAAATTAATGCCTATTTCTTTTTAAATAATAATTAGAACCTCGTGCAAAGAAGTCGGTATAGGGATATCACTAAATATATTGAAATTCATGCCTGATTTTTGTTTTAAAATATTAAGTTATGCCTCATGCATGAACATTCTACAAAGAATTTTGTTTGCCTACCATATATTGCGTTCGATATATGAATATTTTAAGTGTTTATGTTCAAACAAGACAACAATTATTGAAATGGTGCGAGCAAATATCTAAATTATGTCTCCAATTTCTTATTTTTGTGACTATATATCGTTGCAGGCAGATTTGTTTTGTTGTGAAACTTGCTTGCATATGACTTTATTAATATGATATTTCTCTTGCTGTGGCAGAATGGATTTGATACATATTTGCTTGAACATTTTTAGCGTTAGATTCAAAGCATTTATTCAAATTTGCATGAAGGCAAATTATAGATGATGCATAGTATTTGCATGAACAGTTCTAGATAATGATTGTATTAAAGAAACTCAACTGAGGTCCAAACCATTTAAACATATTTTTTTAATTCTTCAGAGATCAGTAAATTATACAAATAATGATTATTTAAAATACTCAGAAATATATTGAAATCGTACTTCAAAGCTATTCTTAAACCGATTTGTGTGAAAAGCGTCGCGTCCGGTAATTTTCACATTTAGAATAATTATTCTGCAAAAGGGGTGCGAGCAAATGATCTGAAATTTTGAACACATTTATTTCGACTAGATCTACATAAAATGGAACAACGATAACAAAAACAATTAACAGTCCCGACATGTGGAAAATCTCAGTGAAGTCCCTTCAATTGCATTAATTTTACAAAAAAACTTTCACATTTAAAAATGATTTTTCTATCTATATACACATATATATCTCTGTTAAGTAACTGATTCATTTATGATAAGAAAATTTCGTTAGTAAAAAAATATTTTTGACACAATTTTTAAGAAAAGCTGCCTGAATCTTGAAAATGTTTTTTTTTACGTTCATTCGAATTGCAGAGTTTTGTCAATGAAACACAATGAGGAGTAAAGGAGTATGGAATCAGAATAGTTAAGTTCATTAGAAACTATCTCAGAAAATACATAGAGAAATAAGTGTCGGTGATTAAGGAAATATCTTCCACGTTATGTTAGTCATGCTTTGACAACATACGAAAGAATGCTTTTAACCAATTTTGTAACGCTATTGCACTCATTAGTCAAGACAAACAACTCATTGAGATGCGATTTAAAATGTTGAAAGGTATTTACTAGACATTCACTGTCAGTTAGAATTATACTGTCAGTGAAAGACAAGGATACCATGAGTCACATTGTAGATCAAGCAATACTCAGTCAATCTGTGTTATGAACTTATGATAAATTAAAAAAAAGGAATTTTGTTTTATGCAGATGCAATTTGTTTGGAAGTCGCACTGTGAATATAGCGGTACTTAGTCTCTGTTATTTTAATACAATCCAGACATATTTATTGTTTGAATGTGCTTCATTACAGAATCAAAATAATATAATTAAACAATACATTTAAAACTAAAGTTTGAAAATAATATTTTCACGAACATGTAATAAGCGTTCTAAAGAATACTATATGTTTAGTCGAGTTCATAATAAGTTTATTTATGAAATAAACTGTTTCCAGCATTTGTTCTTCACGCTTATTGAGTCCTGTGTGCTTTCATTTTGAGCAAATTTCGTTGCTTTTCTTCAGTTTCTTTTGTTGATAAAATAATATGTTCTTTTTGTAAGAAAAATGAAATGTACATTAATATTTATTTTTTGCCGTTCAATTATTTACAAATGCACTGACAAGCCTGCCTCATAAATCAGCAAGTAACATATTAATCATGGAAAAAGAAAGACATAATCCACGTTAAAGAATATTTGATTTTAACGGGTTTGGAAAGGAGAATTATTGTTAACATTGTCCGAAGATTTAATGTATGTAACATCATTTCAAAGTTAAAAAAAATGTTTTATTTGTTTAATAGATTATTTGTTTTCTAACTGATAAATAATATTGATTCTATAAGTGAACGAACTTATTTTTTATCATTTACTTATTTCAATCCCCCCCCCCCCTTCCCCATATCATCACCAGAAATAGAATGACAATTTACAAGACCCCTTCATTGACGAACTATTGATTTCCTTCAAGAAGTGACCTTGTCCATGTTCAAAATTGATTTTGTCTCGTCATCACCAGATTAGTCACTACTAGTGATCATATTACTGACCTGTCACTGACCCTTTACGCTATGTTATTCCGTGAGTCTCTGAATTTAGATAACATCATTATACTTGACAAAGTTCTCATTAATGTTTGCTAACGAAGTACATTAGGGGATATAGAAAAAGTGGTCATGGATTCTAAACAACTGTGTGAAGCACGATTTGATAGTAAAAATGGTTACTTCTCATATCTAAGTATAAACAATAGCTAAAATAAGGTGTTGTCGGATTTCTTCAGAAACATCAAACATTAATTGTGTCCATTTGCGGCTCAGTTTTTATGTACAAACAACCGATTATATATATGGCCATATAACCTGTCGAAAATCTTTATCAATAATGCTATAGCGTAGTTTTCATTCATTCAAAGATACAATAATATATCAAAATATTTATTATATCATCATTTAGACAATACAAAT